TTCAATAACAAAGACGTCTGACTTTCACCGCTTTTGCACAAAGACTCAACTCGTTATCTTGGTATCTGAATATCACTTTTTGATAACACCTTATATATCAAAAATCAAGTTTCTACAGAATTCAAAAAAGTTAAAAACGTATTAGATAAGAAACGACTCACGGCCAAACAAATTGTTGTAGTTTTTAACTCTGTGATCATCCCCAGGATTATTTATAAAACCAAACTGACCTTTCTTCCAGCAAATTTCTGTAATATTATGATAGCTTCTTTTTGAGCCTTTTTCAAAAACAAACTCTGTCTTACTAAGTCTTTGCCTGCCCCTATTATTCACTCAACATTTGGATACAACTTGGCCAACCTTTATGACAAGCAAATGTTAACAAAATCTTCTAATTTTCTTAAATGATTAATGACATCGCTCTACAAAGCAATACTACTAGATTGAGAATTATGCAACTTCAGCTACTAGAATGGTTACACCTATCACCTATTATCAGTTGGCCTTACGAGAACTCTTACTTTTTAAAGATTTGTGATGTTCTTTCTTATCAACAGCTAAATTAGAAGGTCTTACTTTTGGAAAATTTTTGGATGAACAATTCGATCTTACTCAAATCATAGGCGGTTTCACACCCATTTCATCATTAATACCTATAAATACTTACAGAAAGTCTATCAAGAATATTTGCATCCTATCAATAATATTTGTAGACCAGCTTACATCTATGGATGAAAGCTATCTCTTTACATCTTTGATATCAATTGGCTCCTCAATACTAATATATCATGTGCAAGTTAATTTCTGACTCTAGAATCTCAACTCATTGCCAACAACTCAAACAGGAAGATAATACACCCCAGTCAACCGCATCCTTTGATATGTAACTTACCTTTGGGTATTGTCAAGTTGAAAGAAGATGACAATAATAACCCTACTTTTGTGGTTATTTGGTCTAATCAATTCATGACTTATATAATCAGAAAAGTCAAAGCTATTGTCAACGACTTAATTTATACTTAACATTACATACTGACATATGACTCAAATTTTAAAGCTGACATTAACCAATGTAACAGATGTAGTCTTTTTGATCTGACTGCAATAGTTACTACTGTTCATAAAAACTTTCATAATTTTTGTGCAATGAAATTTCCACTCCAATTCTTTACAGAAATCAAAATCTAATATAACAAACACATAGGATGAAGATGCAGCCTTTCTGATCTTATACTTAGAGAGGTCATCCTATATAAACTTACTAACCCATATCAATATCCAACTAAACCAATACCCAACCTTGATGTTTTACTATTTGATGTTTATTCAATAGATTTACTTAATAATATTAAAACTAATTTTACTTCTGCCTCTTTTCTTTAATTTTATATAGATGGTTCTCTAATCTCTTTAGGTTTTTTAAACGTTCATTTGGATATTGCGTGGTTGCAGACTGATCCTAATTGGCCATCAATATCTTTCAATGCTTTTCTTCTTTCACAAAGTCCTTCTTTCACTCTTGCAGAAATCGTAGCTATTTTAGCCGTGATCTATGTCTCGTCTCACAATTCTGATGTTGAAATTTGCACTGACTCATAAGTCACTATTTTTACTTTCCATAAACTGTTATTCCTTTTCTGTAAATAATTATCCATCAACCCTGCTTTTAAAATTTCATATTTCTATATTTGGTCTATGTTATTTAATCTCATCACTCAAAACAACATTTCTGTATCATTCACTAAAGTAAAAGCCTACAATGATAACCTCTTCAACACCAAAGTCGACAAACTTGCAAAGCAACTTCTGGCTCACCAATTATCTATTAACAATGATCATTTAGGTTCAGGGTACTATCTTTGCTATCACTCAATTCCAATTATAGCCCATTGTCTTTTCATAAAAAACAAAAAACAAGCCGTTTGGGCTGAGTCCCTGTTATCACTCCTACATCTAATTTCTTATTGTGACAAATCGATTGATTAGCCTCTTCTCTTCAAGATCCTCAACAATGAAGAATCCTCTTGTAATACATCCTTTATAGGATGCTTCAAAATGAAATTCAAAATCAAAATGTTGCTTCAAATGCTTCCTACCTTAGATGTTATACATGCTCGCATCTTTAATATATACACTTCAGCACAATGTTTTCGCTATCACTCTACTATTGAAGATTTTGTACATCTCTGATTATGTCTAAAGAACAATCCACCCTTACAAGACATTATTGCTAAACATAAAATATCATTCATCACCCATCTTCAGGAATTAAATACTCTAGTAGATGATTCACTAATACAAGATATATGGTCAGATAATATTTGGACTCTAGTACCCAATTCAACTAGTTTTTGGATCATTGACTTACTCAAAGGAATTATACCCTTATCATTATCTAATAAAGTCACTGCATATGTATCTACATCAGCTCTATCACATAGTCTATTATCATCCCTTTACCATGACTTTTCTACATTCTGTTATGAGATATGGAAAAATAGAAATGTTGCTCTTAATGAATGGAAAATTGCAAATAACATTGAAGAAGACTACATTGTCCCTTAAATCTCCTCAGGTTTTTCACACTCTTTTCCCCTCCCCTCAACTTTAAATCTCATCTCTTTTATAACAATTACCGCCTATAGCTCCCATTGGTCAAATTTTTGGAATGGCAATAACTACGCCTTCCTTTTGAATGTTTGATAACTATATAATAGTTTAGTCTTATTAAGTTTTTTTCTTTTCTTTTCTTCTCTATTTATAGTGTAGTTCAATAAAGTACAAGATTGATATTAATAAAGTAATTTAGTTTAAATTTATTTATAGATATTTTTGTATTTTCTATTTTATTATATGTATTCAGTATTATATAAATTCAATAAAGATCATGCAAAACTGCCGCACTTCAAAAAAAAAAAATTCACTAGGATATCCTTCAAGATTTGGGCTTTAAAACAAGTATAAGATCATGTTTCTAGCATTTGTGATTGATAAGTTATAACCGTTCAAAGGTAACCAATTACACTTACGTTTCTTTTGGTAGCCACTGTAAATAACAAATTAAAAATTATGGAATAATAAATATATTCAAAATTCCAATAAAAATAATAATGAATCTATTAGTTTAAATTTAAATTTATTAATGATACATATATTTAAAAAAGTAAATTAGTTAAAAATGATGAATTAAATACATATTTAAATAATGCATTAATTCTTAATACTAATAGTTTTAAAATTTTAAAAGGTAAAATTTATTTAATTATATAATGATCAATTTATTTTTTAATTTAATTTATAATCATATGAAGCAGACTTTTCAAATTTATCAAAAATAGCAAGAGATTATTTAGCAATTTCTGGTATATCATTATAAATTAATACTTAAACATAAAAATTATTTTGAATTTAATATCTTATTATAATAAATAGATATAAGTATTCTAATTGAAAGAGTATTTTCTGATAGAACAGATTTAATTTCACATAGAAAATGCAGTTTAAAATCAGAAACTATTGAAATTTATATATGTTTAAAAAATTAGTAGAAAAAATAATGAAAAATAATATTATAGTTTCATTAATTTTATTATTATTTTACAAAGTTTATTTGTTTTTATAAATATTAAATAATGTATGTAATTTTTAATTTTAAATTATCATAATAAAATAAATATTACTAAAACTAAATAAAATAATGGATTCATAAAAAATAAGTAATTAAAAAAAAAGAGAATTCTAAATGAATTGTAAAAAAAGATCATAAAATTTTAAGAATTAAGTTACAAAATACTTGTAAAACTCTAAAGAAATCGCAAATTACTTGTGAAATTCTAAGAGAATTATAAAACTCTTAAAAAAATTGCAAATTACTTGTGAAACTTTAAGAAAATCGTAAAATAATTATAAAACTCTTAAAAGAATTACAAATTAGGATTTTCTTTAACATTAAATATAATCAAATTGAATATTCAGATTAATTTAAAATTTTTAGTTCAATTCAGATTTTTACCAGTTTACAGTTCAGTTCAATTCCAATTTGACTATAATCTGAATTAAACTGAACTATTCAAAGTATTAAAGATAGTAAAGAATGATTTAAGCTGTTAGATCTATAAGTCATTCAAATTGAAGAAAATGCTACCTTTAAATAAATAACCAGAAGTAATAACAGTTATAAAAGAGTTACATTTAACCAATCTTCTTATAGAAGAAGATAATAAGTAATAATTATTGAAAAATAGTGATGTAGATTAAAGGTGATATTTTTAGAAATAGAAAAAAAACTATGTTGAAAATGTGGATTAGTTATTTGTCTATCAGAGACTTAGATTTTAAAATTGCATTAAAGTTGATAATGGTATTTTTGACATATTTTTTGATAAAAGATTGTAAATTAAAAATATTAATTCATACTTCTAAAAACTGTATACAATCATCCCTCTTTATAATTATATCCCTTAAGACTAAAAATAAAAAATGTAATTATAATAAAAAGTTACTATACAGTGATTTTTATATTGTTTTTAAGTGTTAGTTTTAGAAGGGTGTAACTATAAAAATACTGTGATTATAAAGAGTTTTTTATACAGTTGACTCTGGATATAATGAACTTGTTAAGCTAAAAGGTTTTAGTTCATTATAGCCAAAGTTCATTATAGAACTTTATTTCTATATACCGAACAGTTCGGTATATAAAGCGAACTAATAAATTCAATGTATATTTCAATTTTATTCATTTTGCAAGTCAGTAATTAATTAAAATGACAATAAAATAATTATTTTTATTATTCTTTATTTAAAAATCTTTAATTAGTTTCTCTATTTTCAAAATAATGAAGATCAACTTGTTTAAGATTTTTTACTGCCATTAATTTAACCCGTTTATGCAAATTTCTTAAAATTTTTATCTCTCCATTAATTTTCCTAAATTCTAATTCTTGTTCATATAAAAACTTTAAAGTTTTATCTATACACATTTTAGCTTCTGTTAAAGTTACTTTTTCTACTTCCTTTACTATTTCATCAATAGGCTCATCCTTTTCATTTTCTATTATCTCTAATATTTCTTTATCAGTAAGCCCACCTTCAACCTCATCATCAATATGAATATAATAATCCACAGTAAGATGATCATTTCCTGGTAAGCGAATAATTAATTCTTCAAGTTCCTGTATTTTGTTTTCACTTAAAATGATAAATAATATTTTTAATTTATATTTTTTTTTTATCATAAATAATAAAATATTAACATACTTATCAGAAATCAGAATTGGAATTGGAAGACTTATTTCTTGTGAAAGAATATTAGTCTTTTGCCAACAATTTGCAATTGTCTCTGGTGATACCATAGACAAAGCCTCTGCTGCATTAAGTAAAGCATCATAAATATTATAATCTACAAGTTCTTGTACTATATTATTTTATAAATCATCATAAGCATTAATTCAATTTTTAATAAAGAGACGCTTGTAGTGACACTTAAATGAATGAATAATTCTAACATCACAAGGTTGAAGAGCTGTAGTAGTATTTGGTGGAAGAAATTCAACATGTATATTATCTAACTTTGCTTGAGTTTCATCAAAAATAATATGAACAGATGCATTATCAACTAAAAGAATGATTTTTCAATTTTTTTATTTCATTTGATTATTGAGTATAAGAAGAACTTCATTAAAGATACTAACTTGCATCCAGGCTTTTTTATTTCAGAAATAATAAACAGAAAGATTTTTATAATTAAGATTTTTCATTACATGAGGTGATTTATATTGGTAAATAAAGGTAAGATTCATTATTTCAGTATCGATTGAATTTGTAGCATAAAGTATTATAACGCGTGCCTTTTCTTTTTTATGTCTAGCTACTTTAGAACGAGCTAAAGTTCGAGAAGGTTCCATTTTCTAAAAAAGACCAGTTTCATCAGCATTCCAAATATCTTCAGATCGATAAGGTCTAAGTAGCTGTTATAACATGATTCTATCATTTTCTAGTGATTCAGCAGAAGGAGCACTTGTTGATTCACCTTGCTTTTTAAATTGTTGAAGTCCATGCCATTTTTTAAATCCAGTGAGCCAACCATCTGACTGGTTAAAATCATCAATATGAAGATTACAGTCAACGACCAAAATTATGCGGACATTTTTAAAATCAAAAAAATTATATACACATAATATAATAAAAATAAAATTTTAACAAAATAAATTCAAATATAT